ACATATTTCTCTGGCCAGTGCACTAGCCTTCTCAACATACGATGTGACTGTGGAGGGTTATTGTCCTCCTCTTTGATTTACTTCCACAATATAGTCTGTCTCATATTCATCTTTTAATAGTGTCCTTGGGCAGTTTTTTCTCTTTCCTCTGAGAATGGCAATTACAAACATGAACTGGGATTTTGGTATGCCTGTGTTCTTTCTATGTATTACCTTAACTCCTTGTTATTCTACACATGCCATGCTTTTTTTTTCAGGTTGCTAAATTATGGGCAAAAGGATGGTAGGATGACTTCTTAGGATCCGTGGAATACTATTGATACTTTTGGTAGAAAAGAGTGGAAGTCTGAGGACAACTTTATCCTTGTGAAACATGCAGCTGTGCTCTTCTATGGAGATGGTGCTCAGTTCTGAAATTTTCCTAGATGAGGTGATGGAAACAGAGGGCAGCAGACAGAGGCACAGCAACAGCTACAGGGTGCCCAGCAAAGCAGAAATAAGCACATAGTCAGCAATCCACAGCCCCACCAAACAGACAGCGGAGCCCAGGAGGGTGCCTGAGCCACACATCATAGCTGAGCTGAATCCTAAGGGACACCTGAGCCCCATCAGGCAGGAGTAACCAAGTCCAAGTCCTTTGGTGTGGCATCTCTTTTGACGTTTGTCTCATATTAGGATCTTTCATTTTGACATCACGTATAGGCTTAGTTTGCGGGTGAATGCAAATTCAAGTCCTGTTTTGTACAATACCTTACATTTTTTCACCAGTGTTTGAATGTAAGATAAATCCCAGAATATGCCCTGGAAGAGAAATTCTTTCTAGTTGCAAGAAGCCTATTGATTACATGATCTGAGTATGAATGGTTTTTTTTCAGGATCAGTCTTCAGTCACCAGATTGTTAAATTTTCAGTTTGTTTGGTCAGAGTCGATCCTTTTTCTGTGAGTATAAAATAGGGTCCAGCTCTCTAGGCATCCAGTTTAAAATCTCTGGATTGAAGCTCCATTCTTTCAAGTTTCTCGCATTTTGGTTGAGCCAGCTGGCTCTTATGTTTTGAGATCCTTTGGCGGGGGTTACTTTTATTCATTTTATGTTTCCATCTGCCCAACAGAACAGCATTGGGGCATTCTTTAAAAAGACTCAGCTCTTGGCCACTGCTGGCTGGTTCACAATACATTACTGTTTTGATATAGTCCAACTTTGCCAACATATTTGCCACTGACTAGTGGAATTAACTCAAGCAAAGGCAGATTAATCTCCTGTTGATATAGTAAGATTTGTGTGTTGACCCTAACCATGTATCAAAATGGTGGGATCCCCATCTTGTTACACTAACATCTGTTTTAATATTCTCCCTTCGTGATGTTATAAAGGGCAAGTTCAGGTTCCTCTGAGTTTCTATGGGAGAAGTAGTTTCTTCATTATATTCCTGAAAAACTGCAGGAATGTTGAGATGGACTGAACAACGGTTCCATGTGGTTTAGATTTCTAATTTTGGTGAGCTTCCCTTAAGATAGGATGACTTTGCTTCCTTGGTATTTTTTGGACTTGTAGGTGTAATGGGGATTAAGTGGGTATGAGGTTGCTTTTATGTAATTTACTATGAAGCTGTGATTCAAAAACATAGGGATTATGCTGGCTGTGGCCTCTTTCAAATTCCTTCTTTGACTCATCTTTATCAAGGTCAGAAATCTTGTCCAAAACTATCAAAACCTTGATGCGCTCTGTGATAGATAACCTGAACAATAGTGGATCCCATGGAAACTGAAATTTTTGTTGATGAGAGGAATAAAAGGAACCTCTGGATTTGTGGTAAGCATATGGAATAAACTCCATTTTAGACGTTTATGGAGAGAGCTTATTTTGCTTCTTATATTTCAAAGCACAACCATTTTCTTTCTAATGAATCTTTCTCCACTGAATTTTCCTCAGCCGAGAGCTGTTTGCCTTGTGTATTTTCAAACCAGCTGTGGAGCCAAAAATGCCTGCATGTTCCTGCATTTTGTGATGAGTGATGGGATCTAAATTTCCTTTTGGATTTTTTAAAATTTATTTATGCTATTTGTTGATGTTTGGATTTTTATTTCTGAGTTCCTCTTGAGGGAAGGGGAAAGGTCTGTACCTTTTATGTTTGATAGAATCCTTCAATTTAGAGAGTTGGAAGCTGTCATTCAGGAACAGAACCTCATCCTATCCAGGCTGAAGTCTTTTGTGCTTGAGTTAGGGCAATTGGGCTCATTTTCGGGAGCTGGACCAAGGTGTGGTTTTCTGCAGCTCAGGGTGACTAGAAGCAGATGAGATTCCAGATTGCTTCCTTTTAGCAACTTAAACACAGAAGTGGGCTTTTTCTTAGCCTATCTGGCCCATTTCTGAAAGGGTAAGCTTTGACTCACCTTCTCAATGGGCTACACTCATCATCATCTGTTGAGTGGTTAGAGGTGGGCTTCACATGGATAGAGGGCTGCCTGGCAGACACACTGTGGTGGTTGTAGTATGAATAGAAACCTCAGATTCCAAGGGTGATAGTAAAGAACTACAGAATGAACCTCCTACCTGGAACTCCCTCACTTTATTAGGGCCAGATATGTTTAAGAGGAACTCCTCTTGAACTGGAGGACCAAGAACTCTATCAGCTGATTTTATCTCCAGTAGTCTGAACCAGAGCAGTGGCACATAATATCCTCCTGTGTTTCAGCCTATATAGAGGCCCAGCTGTCATTGCCAGCTAGGAGACAGGGTTGGGCTTAAGGGAGCCACTGCTACTTTGGCAGCCATCTTGGTGGCTCTTTGGCCAGAGGTGGGGAAATTCGGCCACACTTGCATTTTTGCTCTAAAAGGCTACACACAGTATTTTCTCAAAGGCCATTATATTTTTTGAGATATTTGAGAAGCATAGAATATCAGAGAGTCCTGTGGCACCTTATAGACTAACAGGACTCTTTGTCACTTTTTACAGATCCAGAATAACACGGCTACCCCTCTGATACATAGAATATCAGGGTTGGAAGGGATTTTAGGAGGTCGTCTAGTCCAACCCCCTGCTCAAAGCAGGACCAATCCCCAATTAAAATCGGAAGAATAATCCCTGCTGGCGTGTCCCTGAAGGAGCCTCACTAACAGCACTTAGTCTTCACTGCGCTTTCTCTCAGAGGCATGACATATTGGCTCAATGATGCGTGG